TGAGGGCTTGACAGTTTCTCTAAGCTGGTAACTTAGATCTGCCACAAGGCCAGGCCATAAAAGATACACTTCCAGCCAGGGGCAGCCAGAATTCAACTCAGGCCCATTAGAATCCAGACATAGTTGCCCCCTTTCAGTTCAGGACTAGGGACAGACTACAATATCTGCCTGGTATTCAGAGGATCATCTGGAAGGAGAGGTTAGTGCCATCTGAGCCTCAGCTCTGGACTGAAGGGCTGGCAGGACAGAGAAACCTCAAGCAGAGGACACAGGGCTGGAGTGTGAGTATGGCCCCACAGGGTCAGAGGGCCAGACAGCACATAGTCCCTGCCTCCCCTGGCTCTGAAGCCTGCTCCCTCTCCCCTTCCATACCCTTATCCTTGGCCCCTACCCCAGTCATACTAGGTACAGCAAGTACAACAGCTGTTTCCTATCCAATAGGCATCTCTGACATAGGCAGATATACTTAGAGTCATCCCATAGTTCCAGACTGGGCTAAGAAATGCTGGGCCTTTTATGTACCACCAGGTCTGTCTCTTACCTTGTCAAGTTTAGCCTCGATCTCAACCACATCAGTTTCTACCTCATCAATGGTTGCCCTACAACAAGAATTGGGCTGTTAGATCAGCTGGAGTTTCATCTCCTGTTGCATCTCCCTTGGACTTTTGCTGCCAGATGGGGGCTCCAGGAAACTGAGGCTGAGAGAGGCAAGCACCCTGGACATAACTAGGACCCAGGCTCAGCACTTTGGAGCTACTCAGAGCCCCCTAGACAGGCTGAAGCCACTTAGCTATATCATGCATATCTCTCTCTCTCTCTCCTCTCTCTCTCTCTCTCTCTCTCTCTCTCTCTCTCACACACACACACACACACACACACACACCCTATAGTGTAGCTATGCCCTATGAACACAAGTTTAAGCAAGTCCTTAGAACCTAAGCATAATAACACTGAAGTCTCATGCTATGATGTTGGTGCCCATGACAGTCTTCTCTGGGACTCAAAGTTGAACTTGGACCCCCATTTGGACAGCCTCTCCTCAACTGAAAAGAGTCTGTCTTTCACTTCTTTGCCCCAACTTCAGGCCACTTTGGCCTACAGCTAAATGACACTAAAGAAGGCTTGTTATGAACCAACAGCTAAGGGACAATGCCTCAAAGCAGTAAGAAAAGGACCTCCATCTCCCTTGACCTCAAGACTCCCTTTAGCTCAGTCCAGCCAGGACAGATGGGTCTCTTTAGAGTCCATCCTTAACAATCCAGCCTGATAAAGAAGATGCCCTGGGGAGGGAGGAGTTAATGATGACATCACCAGGAGAAGCCAGGGAGAATCCCGGAAGCCAAAGGCAGATGGACCAGGCACGTGACACCCCCCCCCCCCAACTCCAACTTGGGAACAGGAAATAAGGAAATAAGGGCAGGCTCCCAGCAGTCCCCCACCTCACATAATCAGTTTAGCTGGTGAGCTACACCCATCTGGCTTGCATGGGAAGAGGCATCTTGGGAACATAATAGGCCAAGGGTTTAGGCAAACCTCTAGGAACAAGTCTTACACTGGCTGGGGGTAGGGTATCAGAGGGGAAGCCATGTAGTCCTGGCAGCTCCTCACCCCATTCTGCCCTACTCTCTAGAAGGACAAGGAGAAAGATCTGTTTTAGGGTTTCTCCTGAGTAAAGGGCTTGAGAAACACATGGGACATAGTTTAGTGTGTCCTCAATTATGACCTGGGACTGAAATGGCCAGGCTGTCCTAGCCAGGACCCTCAAAGGTCCTGGCCATCAGCCCCATCCCTTCCTGAGGGCAAGGCACCATGAATCCTAAAGCAGAAAAGAGGCAGCAACCGAGCAGCAGCATCTGACTAAACCATTGGCAGCCATGCCTCTAAAGGATACCCCACAGCCTGCCCTGCTTGGGAAAAATGTCCTTTAGCTATGAGCCCAACACAGGCCACTACAGGAGGCTCTGGTCCAGAACTCTAGCTACCATGAGAGCCAGAAGTTCCCAGAACACAGATGTAACTATCTGCCTAGGAGAGCACTATTCAGGGCTTCCCCAAGCAGGCCTGACAGCCCAGACAGCTGCAAGTAGAGCTGCAGCTGGCCAGGGAGCCAGGAACTGGGAGGGGCTGCACCAGGAGCTGACATATGTACTCACAGGGATGTGGGAACATGGTGGGCACTTAGTAGAGGCTCAGGGAGCCAGCACTCTGTCCTAGGAGTCTCTCAGCACTCCCTTCCTCAGCCAAGGAACTGAGGCATCCCCCTTCTGCCCTATGCCTGTCTTGCCAGCTAGGGACTTCCTCAGCAGCTTGGAGGTTGAGGAGGAGCCCCCTCACGAAAGCCATGACTCAGCGCTTAAAGCCCCACCCAGGGCAGGGCTTACAGCCAAGGCTGGGCGGCTTCTCTTCCGGGGCTCCCCTACACCCCCACCCACAGCTTCAGGGACTATGAGACATTCCTAAGGCTGTCACAAGCACTTATCCTAGGCCAGGAGCCCCAAAGCAAAACTCCCACCATTTCCAGGTTAGGGTCTAGGCTCCACCTCACTTCCAAATCCTTCTGTCAGGCCCATGCTGCCCTAAAGGTTCTTGGCCAGAAAGATCAAGTTATAACCTCGGTAACACCTTAGAGTGGACAAGGTACTCTTCAAACCCATCAAATCACAGCCCACCCCAAATCACTGAGCCAGGTTTCCATGATCCCAGAACCAAAATCCAGAGAGTCATCCCCCATTCCAACACCCCCTCCCCCCACCAAAAGAAGCAATGTTAAGCCTAAGCAGCTGCCACACCTACTGCAGCCCACAAGTCCAACTGGCTGGCGGTAGCAAAGAAGGCCCAGAAGTGAACGGATTTCTGCTTAGGCCCAAACCCCTCCACGAGGCAGAATGGAGCCAGAGCTTCTCAGAAAGGGATCAGGGCGAAGATAAGAGTGCTTCCTTGGCCGTGCTTCCTTCAAGCTTGGATGCAGAATTGTGGGATACCTGAGTCTCTCAGAGCACTCAATCATTCAGCGATAGAAAATAGGAAAGCATAGATGACTGCCTCAAGTCCCCTGACTACAATCAGTGGACACTCTTGGCTAACTCTAATGCTCCAAAGCTCCTAAGGTGTTTCTTGCTGACTCTCTTGCAAGGTGGTTTGAAAAGAGCTGGACTGGGGTAGGCCCCCAGAGACCCAGCATGCATAGGTGGTTAAGCACACATGTGCAAAGGCATGATATAAGCTTATACATAAACATGAATGCATGCATGTAGTAGCACTGGGCACACAGACATGTGTTCCAGGGACATGGTGCACACATATGCATGGACATGTACACCCATGTTAAAACACATACCTGCATACATACATCAACATGTGTCTAGTAGCATGGCAAACATGGTTCATGAATCCACAGAGAGGTGGCACATGCCCATACGTGTGTGCACCCTCACTAGGCTATATGCATGCATCAAACACACCAACTCAGTATCACACTCACCTACACATTCATGTGCATGGTCTGGCACCTCCTCAAAGGAGGGGCAGAGTGGCAGAACATGTTCCCCTATGTCTATGCACATACAGAGGTAGGGGACCTCATGAAGGTGTGCAATTTCAAATGACACACAGGAGGTACTCCATTACTGTTTGCCAAATGTCACCCAATGAAACAGATGCATATCGGTGTGGGGCCATGTGGTTCACACAGATGTGCACGACTGTATATCCAGGAACAATAAAAGAAACAAACTCATAGGTGAACAAGGCCAGTACCCTCCCAACTAAACCTGACTTCCTCATCCCCACAGCCCCCACCTCTCCAGGCTCCTGGTCACTCATACCACCCTTCACTCTCACCAAGGTGCCCATCTCAGGGTCTGATGGCTCCAGCTGGCTGCACCTATACACTGCTCTGGACATATGGGCCAAGATAGAAACCAGGGACAGATGAAGCAGGGTGCCAGACAATCCTAGCCAGAACTGGACTACAGGGCCCAGGGGGAGCTCAGTACTTGTGGCATACGAAAGCACAAACACAAAGGAAAGTGGACAGTTCTAGAGGTGGCACTGAACGCAAATGCCCAGTAGTACACGGTTGCCCAAGGCAGTCCAAGCACTCACCCCCGCGCGAGGTGATCAGTACAGGGGCGTCTTTTGTTCCGGTCCCCCGAGGCCGGAGGCGGAGCTGTGCGGCTTGGGGACCGCGACTCCGGCTCCGGCCGGTTTATCCAGGCCAGGTCTTCTGCACGGTCCAGGTGGACTCGGAGCGGTCACGAAGCTGGACATCCCTTCCCCGCCCCCGGCACAAAGGCGGCTCCCCATCCCTGCTGGTGCCCTACCCCAGGCCCGCAGCACACCTGAAGCGCGGCGAGTCCTTGATGCATTCCTCGAACTCTACCGTCATGGCTGCGGCGAGCGACGCTCACTGGACCGAGGACCACGACGCGTCGAGCGGCATCCCCGGCCAGTAGACGGTCCGTCGCACCCGCGCAGCGCTCCGCGCCCGCCCGCCTCGGAATGAGGCCGGCTCGCCGCTGCCCCGCCCCGCCTGTCACCGCTGGGGAGCGTCGCCAAAGTCTGCCGCCGCTAACACCACCCGCTGTCACTTTCAGGGAGCGTCGCTAAATGCGCCGCTGCACTCCGTTGCCTGTCACTGCCCTCTGTCCTCAGCCACCAGGGTCAGGGAGCTGGGCCGGCCGCGGCAGTTGGGATCCAGAGTAGTTGACTCGGCTGCGATAAAGGGAAAGGCGCTGTTCTCCCACTTCAGGCATCCCTGCCATGGTTAAACTCAGGGAGTTTACAAAAAACATTTGGGAGCACTAGGTCAGAACGCGTAGACAGACACATTCTGGAAGAACGGGACGGCGGCGGGAAGATCAGGAGTGAAGGAGTGAAGGGGTGAACAAATTAAGGAGGACACTCTTGCAGAAACAACCCGTCACCGTGCCCTTGTGAGGCAGAGGACAGTGAGCCCAGTCGGGCCCAGAGGACAGCACTTCGCACCCGCTCCCTAAGCTTGGTCCCGCCTCCGTTTCTCCGTCCCTGCGGCCGGGCGGGGTGAGCGGAGTGAGTGCGCAGGCGCCGTTGCAGCTGGACAGGGCGGACCGCGGGCCACGTGCAACCGCCCCGCCCTCCAGCTACTCCACCATGAGTTCCTGCGGAGCTGTGGGTTCTGTGCGTGCGCGATACCTTGTGTTCTTCCAGTACTTGGGCACTGACTTCAAGTACGTTTCCCCGCCATCACCTCCGGTTCCTCCACTCGGGCTCGCGGGAGGTCTGCAAGACGGCCAAGAGGGGCACGATCCCAGCCTGGACGTCCGGTCTCGGGATGCACAATTTTAAGAGCCTAGCTACACTGGTCTGGGCGGTACGAACGTCTGTGGGTACCTAGACCCCAGGCGGGACAGCTCCCACAGACGCTGCCGATAACTCTCTCCTGTATCTCTCCTCAGTGGGGTCGCGGCCGTGAGGGGTAACCATCGCGCTGTTGGGGTGCAGAACTTCCTGGAGGTGAGCTGTTACCTCATCTCTCAGAGCGATGACTGGTTGGCGGGGCAGAAGCAGCAGGCAGCCTCAGTCCCTGCCTGCACTCCTACTGTTCCATGGGCTCTGGCCTCCGCTGTGACTGCCTGCCTGCACCCTGCTCCTGCAGGAGGCCGCCAAGAGGCTGAACTCGGTCGAGCCCGTCAGGTTTACTATCTCCAGCCGCACTGATGCCGGAGTGCACGCCCTGAGCAACGCGGCACACCTGGACATCCATCGCCGCTCAGGCCTGTCGCCTTACTCCCCAGAGGTCGTGGCCCAGGCCCTCAACACCCACCTGAAGCACCGGGCCATTCGGTGAGCCTGGGATTGAGTGTGGTTCTGTTTTTTGTTTATTAATATACCCCACACCCCACTATGAAGGAAGGCTGAGGTCCAGAAAGACATTGTATTCTGGGCAACTTGGAGGTGAGTGAGAGATTTCCCGGGTGCTGTGTGGACAGGTGGGCAGACTCATTCCTGGGATCTGCTTGCCACAGCGTACTGAAGGCCTTCCGAGTGCCCAATAACTTCCATGCTCGCCATGCAGCTACCTCCAGAACCTACCTATACCGTCTAGCCACAGGCTGCCCCTGGCCTGATCAGCTGCCTGTGTTTGAACAAAATGTATGCTGGGCTCTTCAGACAACGTGAGTGAACTAATGGGGAGGAAAAGGCTCACCATCCATCTGGCTGGGCCCTCCTCAATGCTTATCTGGGTCTGCAGGTGCCTGGATGTGGCTGCCATGCAGGAGGCTGCCCAGCACCTCCTGGGGACACATGATTTCAGTGCTTTCCAGTCTGCTGGCAGCCCAGCCACAAATACTGTGCGCACTCTACAAAGAGTCTCCGTGTCTTCTGGTCCAGCCAGCCCATTTGTCCTCCCCCAGGAGAGCAGGTGAGAAGAGTGACTTTGAACTATGGCCTCATGGTGGTCTAGAGGCCACCAGGGTTAAATTAGCTGTCTTGGAAAAAAAAAAAGTGGGATGATGCTAAACTGTATACTGGTCACCCATAAGTCCTGGAGGATGGAAGGTTCTGGCCACTTAGAAGGGATGAGCCAGTAGTCTTCTTCCTGTCTGGCTGGGGTCCCTGACAGGCTGGGGAGGACAGGGTAGAAAATGTTGCCTTTCTGAGGGTAGTGCCATGCCCATAGCTCTTTGTAGCAGATATCTCTACTACACTGTCACTGAAAAGGTTTCATTGGAGCTAGTAGTTCCGGTCCAGTTTGACAGACTGTTGAAGTTCTCTGTGTCAAGCACTGCCTAGTGGACTTCCCACTGGGATGCCAGCTGCTGACCTTGAGAACATTGCAGCTGATACCAGCCTCCAGGAAAGGAGGGACTTCAGTGTGGCCAGTTCACGAGTATGTGAGCAAGGTTCCATCCTTTTTTTTTTTTTTTTTCCAATTTTTATTTTGTGTGCATTGGTGTTTTGTCTGCAGGTATGCCTGTGTAAGGGTGTTGGATCTTGGAGTTCCAGACAGTTGTAAGCTGCCATGTGTATGCTGGGAACTGAACCCTCCTATGGATGAGCAGCCAGTGCTCTTAACCACTGAGTCATCTCTCTAGCCCCCAAGGTTCCATCTTGATAGGTGGGCTGGCTATGTCTGGCCTCAGCAACCTTACTGTGGCCCCTCCACATGAAAGAAGGCTCAAAGCAGTTGCTATCTCCTGTGCACAGGCTGATGACTCTGTTGTATAGTTGTTTTCTTATATGGTGTATATAGACTCCAGGAAAAGTCATGTAATACCCATTTACCCTCTGGAACTGGTGGTCAACTAGGCAAGAACCCACCCTGGATGAATGAGCTTTTAAACCAGCACTTAAATCTTTGTGTTGTCTGAAGCCACATGGTGGGCCAGGGTGGCTGAGGCTGACTTGTAGCTTGGACATCAAAGCTGTCTGTGTTCCTAGGAGGCTGCAGTTCTGGACGTTGGAGTTTGAAAGCCAGTCTTTCCTATATCGACAGGTAGGCTGTACTAGACCCTCCCAAGGTGTGCTCAGGTAGATACCTGTGACCATCTCAGCTCTCTGCTGCAGGTACGGAGGATGACAGCTGTGCTGGTAGCTGTGGGGCAAGGGACTCTGACACCCACACAGGTGAAAGCAATTCTGGAGAGTCAAGATCCCCTGGGCAAGTATCAGGCTCGAGTTGCCCCAGCCCATGGCCTGTTCTTGAAGTCAGTGTTATATGATGACTTTGGTAAGAGGGGATGGGATAGGAAAGAGCTGGGTCCTCACTGAGGGGAGGGGGCTTTTGGAGACAGTCAAACCCCCCATTGTACTAGGTGAGAATCCAAGCACTGTCAGTGGGGAAAAGGACTTCAGTTAGAGATCAGCGATCAAAAAGCATAGTGGCATGGATTGAGTGGTTCACAGGGTCAGATTTTAGGGGGTAAGTGGGGTTTCTGGATACAACTGTAGGAGTTCTACTCTGACTTAGAGTCTATCCATAGGTCCTACATCCTGAGCCCTGTAAGGTCCAATGTGGAAACCCAGCTGACTGTACACTCTGGAAGTGAAGAGTCATACAGCATACTAAGTCTGGCTGTCAGCCTTGTCCATTTACTGCACTCAGCAGAGATTAATCCACAGCTATGTGGGGCTCTGGTAGTCCTGCCTACCTTCCAGCAGCTCCCACATCCCCAATCTTTCCACTGTGGACATCCCTTTGTCACTAAAGGCAAGAAACAGCAGCTGTAAACACCCTAGTAGTCTCTGGTTCTGCTTTTTTGGGAGCCCCATCTTCTTGGGGCAAGGGAGTAGGAATAAAAGGCATAGCGAACAAAAAGGCTTGTTTATTACTTTAGCCAGCCTGTGACTCTGGTCTTGTCCCTAGGACAGAGTCTGTGGCCCAATTATGGTTTCCATTTACTCAGGGCACCCACCTCCCAAAGCCAAATCCCTGGTCCTTCTGCTGGGCAAATAGCAAGAGACAGAGTGGTAAGTTGCTGGTGGTTACATGTCAGCTGGGTGCCTGGGGGAGGCCATTTTTGAGCAGTGCTGTGAGAAAGCTTCCCAGCTCTTCATCCTAGAAGAAAGGGAAGAGGGAAGTACAGTTACCCACAGACAACACAATACCAAGGAAGGGAGGTCTACAGGCATACCATTGATGCACATCCTCCTTACCTGGTAGGTCCAGGAGACCAGCAGTACCTTAGTACCAGGGTCCTCTGAGTGGGCAGCAGCCTGGATAAGAATGGACTCCACAGTCACAGAGCCATCAGGGAGGTGCTGTACACAGTGGTCTTTGAGGGTGCTGTGGAGAGGTATAGTAAGATCTCTGCCTCACCCTGCCTGTAGGGGTAGGGGCAAGGCCAGGGCGCACCTCTTGAGGTGGCTGTACACACGTAGGGCTGTTTCTTGCTCCTTGCGTGTGTCCTGCAGGTGCACACGACACGTGAAGCGCAGTTGGTGCTCAGCCAGGCCTAACTCCTTGAGGGCTTGCTCTGAGGATACCAGCCGGAAACTCTATGGGGCAAGGGCAAGCAGGTCAGGGGAAGTAATGAAAGCTATCCCCACTCCATCACTCTTTACACACTTACACTGTCTTTCATAATTAGTGTGCCATGCAAGAGCCGAGACTTTTTAGCCTCAGGGAGCAGTCCTGTGAGGAAAGGAAATTGCAGTCAACACAAGCCATCAATTACCTGCCTCCCTTGGCCCATGTCCCAGTCTGCCCTTCATACCCTGCACCATCTCCCGCTTCAGCAGCCCCAGGGAGATGCCCACAGGGATGCTGGGGCTTGTGGGCAGCGTCACTGTCTCACCATTGGCTGGCATGTAGCAGCTGACCCCTGAGGAAAGTGATACAGAGCCTCAGTCTAGGCTGCCAGCCTGCTGGTACCATCCCACAGGCCAACCCTGCCCACCAGCTGCCTACGGAATTCCTGCTCAATCTTCTGCCTCAAGAACTCCATCTTCTTGGCCTCGCCATGCACCAGCAGCACACTCTCCGGCTCTGCTTGTCCCACGAGTTGCATGATGCCCTTGGCATCAGCATGGGCACTGAATGACATGTATTCCACTTGCATCTTTACCTCCAGCTGTGGCATCACAAGATGCAGGCAGAGTTAGCAGCAGCAAAAGCCTGGAAGCCCTGTCGAGCCTAGAATAGAGAGGTACTCACCACCTGACGCCCCTCCATCTCCAGCTTTCGTTGCCCACTAAGGATCTTGTGGCCCACAGTGCCTTGCACACAGTAACCAGGCATGATGACCTGAAAGCGGAGGTGAGATTCAGCTGCATGGCTTCCCAACATAGACACTTCCTTTTGGGAAAAGCCCTGGCCTGGAGCCAACCATGCTCAGGAGGCTAAGGACCTGTCTGTTAGCAGGCCAGTTGCTCAGTCTGGGCTGCTGGTAGCAGAACACAGCAGTAGAGTCATCATGGGGTCAAGACACAAAGTTCAAGGGCTAGTCCTTCTGTACTCCAGTTCCCTAAGTCCATAACGAGCCCCTGCAGCCAACTTGGGAATTGGCCCAAACCCTCACCATGTTCTTCTCGTTTCCTGCCCACTTTCGAAAGATCTGCAGAGATTGGCCAGCATGCAGCATCCCGGGTGTGGCAAACACGACCTGCAGGGTTGACAAGGGTCAAGAGTAGACCTTACCCAGGGCTGCAGTAAGCACTAGACCTTCGCCCAATAGTCCTTCCTGGAACCCCACGGGCAGAGATCCTTTAAGGCCAGCTGTGGAGAAGCTTCATTGCCAGGGCCTTACCATGGGGCCTGGGTTGTCAGCAAATGTCCGGTCGAAGGCTTTGATGTGCTTGAACTCAAACATGTTCCTCTGGACAAATGTCTTACGTATTTTCTGGTTGGTCCAGGTGATGAAGAGCTTGTAGTAGTGGTTGGCCTTCTCTGTCAGGCCCGTAGAGAAGTAGATGGGCACCTTCAGGTTCATGCGCTCCCTGTGTGTCCACCAGCCCAGTCAGTACAGGGAGGCCAGAGTTAGCCTGCAACATGTGTCCCTGTGCCCTCCACTGCACTGCTTAGTGGCTATGGCCAGGGCTGAGTTCAATGTCCTTTGAACTGAACCCCATGCTGTCTCTACTTGATGACCCCCAGGCCAGACCTCTCAGCTTGTGTTCTATAAAACAAACATGGGAGTGGTAGGGGTCCCCAGAGCTCATGTGAGGAGACTCAGTATTCATGCAGTGACCAATACAGCCTGCAGATAATGGTTCAAATGGGATGACCCAACACACGCACAGCTCCATCCAAAACAGCAGGGCATCAGTACCCAGTGGTAGTCATTGCTGCCTTGACTTCTCAACAGCTCCCCGTGCCTGGCAGTGTAAGGAACTTACTCTATGCAGAGGCCATTCCACCTTTTCTTGTCCACCTGTGGAACATTTCTGTTTGTACTTACCAGAAGGTCTCCAGCAGGATGCAGAGCTCTTGTGCCCGGCCCAGTGCAAACACAGGGATCAACACCTGAGGGTGGTGAGGCTGATTCAGGTGGGAGCCACTGGCCACACTACCCTTCCCTGAACACAGCAGGTACCATATGCTCACTATACCCTTGCTGGCAGGTTGAATGATAGCATTCAAAGATAGCATTACTGCAAAGGAATAGCCAGACATCTAAGAACTACAGGTTTCATACACACACACACACCAGCCACACGTAGAGACAGTAGCAATTGTGGGAGGCTCTTGAACAGCTCTTCATGGGATGCAAGCACCAGGGAATGAAAGACTCTCTAGAATCTGTCATCTCAGTGCCAAATAAACAGTAACCCCCAAACCCTGAGACCCTGACCACATGTAGGACAGTAAAGCCTGCTGGGAAACCTATACTGTGTGGCCAGAGTAGGCACACACCAGAGCCTGCCTACAGTCAATACCTTCCCACCACGCTCCACAGTCTCATGAACTTTCTTAAGGAAATC